ATGGAGCTTCGCCGGAGCCGTCGACGCTGCCTTGGACCACGCGCGGGCTGCAGTGGAGCTCCGCCGGAGTTGCAATGGAGTTTTGCCGGAGCCGTCAGCGCTGCGGTGGAGCTCAGGCAGGGTTGCAATGCAGCTTCGCCGGAGCCGTCAGAGCTGCGTTGGAGCTCCGCCAGGGCTGCATTGGAGCTTGGCCGGAGTTGCAATGGAGCTTCGCCGGCGTGTCGGTGCTGCGTCGGAGCTCTGCTGGGGCCACAATGGAGCTCGCCGAAATCAATCCGTGGTGCTGCGTTGGAGCTGCGCTGGGACTGCAAGTCTGCAATTGTGCTGCGTTGACTCGCTGTTACCGTGGCGTCGTTGTAATTCAACGGCCACCAGTGCACCGATCGAACGGCTAAATAGCCGGATGATTTCTCTAAGAAATCATCCGGCTTATTTGTAGCAGTCCCCTTAAAATAAACCACACCATAGTTCAGGCCAGCGGCTCTAGTTCACGCCGGCAACAGAGCCAACGGCCTACACGTCCTCGTCGGCAACACAGCTAGCGGCCGGCAACAGAGCCAACCTACAAAATGAATAGTTTTGTCGCCGGCAACACAGCCAGCTCCCAAAATAAATAGGTTCCTCACCAGCACACAGCCAGCAGCCGGCACCCATGCCAGCCTTCAAAAAGAACGGCCACGACCGATCAAACGACCTAGTTCAGACCGTCGGCGTCGAACATCTCGCTCTGTCTGGCCGATCTCCTCCAACGTGCATTCTGACCGCGGCTTCCTTGGACCCTTGGCCGCCTTCTTCTTCACCTTTCCGCGCGGGTCGACGGCCAGACCGCCCGAATTCGGCGGGGCGTCGGCCATGGACGTGGGAGGGTAATAGGCGGGACGTGGGAGGGTTTTGGGAGAAATGACGTGAAATGGGAGGCCGGGTTGGTGCTTTGTGCCACCGACGGACGGGCCAAGGAAGGACAAGCACGTGCGTCCCGCCCGTCCGCGCGTTGTCCGTTTCACCCTAAAAGTGGCCCAAATTTAGGTCGGGATGGGTCAAAAGCAGACAGAAAATGAACAAAAGTCTGTTTGCGTTCGCTCGCCGGTACATTGCCCCAAACGGACGCACTCGGACAGGATGGGGTCACGCGCTGGAGTTGGCCTTAGGTGCTGAGATCATAGGGCAAAGGCGGAATGGAATGGAATGTTACCGGTGAAGAGCTTGAAGGCGGTGGGAAGTCCCCGGCGGTTGGTGGTGATGTTGGGCGACGGGCGGAGGAGCTCCGACCGGTCGGCCTCGTACAGCGCCGTGTCCAGGATCACCGGCCGCGCCCGCTTCTTTCTGCAGAGCTACCGCGTTTCAAATTCGACTCAATACTCTGTTAAACCCA